CATTAACCTATTATTAGCCAATGAAATACAGGATATGTCTGCCTTGAAATAGGTTTTTTGCGACCTGCGTGTACTTGCGAGGAAACTTGCGAGTCCGTTTGGCCACCCAACGCAAGTTTCTACGCAAGTTCAACTTGTGGCTACTTGCGACTACTTTCGAGTCCGTTTGACCAGGGCTTAATTCAGTCGCTTTAATTTCAGATGCTTTACTGAATTTATTTCCCCTTAGTTTCAGACACTTTCAGATTTATTCATATACTCTCAGACTTTCATTTCAAGGTGTTATGTTAGGCTCATGACATTATGGCGTCTGAGCAGGCATTATTAAAACGACCACCTAACCTGCTTTTGTTGTCTTATTTTCAGACGACGACACCAAACAAGTTAAAACGTTTGTTTTGGACTCCGATCAACAGATATTTTTTTGCACTGAAAATACTCGTTTGTAAGGATTTCAGAAGTGCCTCAAATTACAACGAGCTCGAAGGAAAAAACGATGGCATTTTCAAGAAATGATTCTAAAAATGATGATGCCTGTTTTGCGGAATTTAAGAATGCTCCTAAAGACCTCACAGGGCAAGCCCTAATCCTTCATAGTCACGCTACTGGACAAGAAACACAACAAAACACGGAAGAAAATTGTAATGCTGAAATCATAAGCAGGAATTGTACATCACATATGAAACACGAAACAACGGTTAATGTGGAGATCAAGGTGCAGGGAACTGAAATTTGTATCAATGTTTCAGGATGTTCTGTAGCTAAATTTGGCTCTGATGCCAAAGCATTGGAAGTGCAGAGCTGCAAATTGTGTAGCAAGGATTGTTACAGCTCGTCGGATGAAGAACGCGAGGCATCGGTCGCGTTGAAGATTGCAGAGGTGCAAGCAGATAGCCACGCCCATGTTAACATGTTGATTTATTCACCAATGCCAGTTATTCCAAAACGTGGGTGCATGAAAACTTCTCAGTATTTCTTAATTATAACGGAACTGAAAGACCTACGAGGTACAGGCGACTTTGATGGACATGAACAACTGATTGAAACACAGATGGCAAAATTCAAGTCAGCGCCAGATTCTGATATGGAAATGAGTTTGCAGATTGAGCGAGCAATGGCGCTATATTATCAAAACAACATTAGAGACACAAAGAAAATTTTAAAAATTGTCAAAGAACAAAAGAAACAACTAAAAAACCCAGGAATTCTTGTAGGGCGAGCCTTAAATCTTCTGACAGCGGTCTACAAACGTGAAGGGAAATTTGGTAAGGCGATGGAATGTGTGAAAAATTCACGCGCTTGTCTTGAAGGCCAGGACTCTGCTTATGATAAAGCAGAGTTACATCACAGTTATGGCGCCTTAATTATGGCTATGCCTGCTGCGATGGATCCCAAAACTGTCCAAGCCACGAAGGAAGAGGCTTACAAATTTTATCAAATGGCAGATCATTATGAACTTCAAAAGTATTTTCACATCAAAATGGCGGCCCTCCTGTTGGAATCACGCTTTAGAGGAGAAAAAACCGTAGATTTCCCCTGCAAAGATGATGTTATGAATGCAAAGAAACACCTTGACTTCGTTGAATCCAAATTAGTTGACAACGAATCGTTAGGAACAAGAATAACATTTCTTCTTTTGCNACACGAAAGAACGGGTAATGTGGAGATCAAGGTACAGGGAACTGAAATTTGCATCAATGTTTCAGGATGTGCTGTGGCTCAACTTGGCTCTGATACCAAAGCATTGGAAGTGAAGAGCTGCAAATTGTGCAGCAAGAATTGTTACAGCTCGTCGGATGAAGAATGCGAGGCATCGGTCGCGTTGAAGATTTCAGAGGTGCAAGCAGATAGCCACGCCCATGTTAACATGTTGATTTATTCACCAATGCCAGTTATTCCAAAACGTGGCTGCGTGAACACTTCTCAGTATTTCTTAATTATAACAAAACTGAAAGAACTACAAGATACAGGCGACTTTGATGGACATGAGAAAATGGTAGAAAAACAGATGGCGAAATTGAAGACGGATACAGACTCTGACATGGAAATGAGTCTACAGATTGAGCGAGCAATGGCGCTATATTTTCAAAACAACATAAAAGATGCCAAGAAAATTTTAAAAATTGTGGTAAAGCAAGAGAAACAACTGAAAAACCCAGGCATTCTAGTAGGGCGAGCCTTAAATCTTCTGACAGCGGTGTACAAGCGTCAAAAGAAATTTGGTAACGCGATGGAATGTGTGGAAAGAGCGCGCACTTGTCTTGAAGGTCAGGACTCGGCGAATGATAAAGCGGAGTTACATCACAGTTATGGCGCCTTAATTACAGCTATACCAGCTGCGAAGGAACCTGAAACTGCCCACGCCACTAAGAAAGAAGCTTACAAATCTTATAAAATGGCGGGCCACTACACAGAGAATGATGAATTTCAAGAGTATGTTCACGTCAAAATGGCGGCTTTGCTGCTGGGATCTCGCTCCAGCGGAGAAAGAATCGTAGACAAAGATGATGTTATGAATGCAAAGAAACACCTTGACTTCGTTGAATCCAAATTAACTGACAATGAATCGTTAGGAACAAGAATAACATTTCTTCTTTTGCGATCTGATCAGTACCTTTACGAAGACAACGTTGCCATGGCAATGGAGAAAGCTCAAGAGGCGAGCGCCCTCATCCACCAACATGGATTCAAGCTTGAATTTGCTTCTGCCAAAAGCCGTATTGATCGCCTGTCCACGATGATATGGCAAGAAAACGAGGAATGGCGAGAGACGGAGTTCAGCTCCAGCTCGGGTACAAGTGACCATCTTGCTGAAAGCGAGAGAGCACATTCCGATTAGTTTGGCAAATAAAGATGCATTGGATCAATCGATTACAATTATTTCCCTTTTAAAGATAAGGCAAATCATTGGAACGAAGCTTGCTCAGGTTGAAAGCCATACTATTCCAGTCCATCATTTACACAGCCAATCAGTGTGTGTAGTCCACCATGATTGACAGTTAACTTCTTCTTGGCAGCTCTGTTCATCAAACGCCAAGACGGAGCGCTTTGTTGTGCATTTGAAAACTTCTGCATAAGGGATAATTAAAACAATATAGTAATAAGAAAAGCAAATGTATGTATCGCTCAGCTTTTAAAGAGACAAAATGAAGTTCACCTTTAGTAATAGCGCAACTTTTGGTGGTGGTGGGATTTGACTAGATAGTCCCTGATATAAATAATGACTTCCCCTCTTCATCAGAAAGTTTTTACCTGACCCCTTCTCGTACCCGTAAATTTTGGGATGACCTCCCGCCATGAAAATTAAAAAGTTAAAAATTGTTGCAATCTGAAAAATAAATTATACCAGTTTCAAGGCAGTTGAAACAGGTTTTGACAATGCACCAGTTGTTTGGTCATAGCACCTTGATCAGAGCTGACATTGTCTTGACTGTTTTATGAAAGGAAGCTGCATGATGCTTAGTGAAGGTTTGAGTGTGTTTACAGGGCTCAAAGAAGGGGGAGCCGGGACATGCTCCCCCGGGAAATATTGTGTTTTCAGAACTTCAAGAACGTTATTTTAGGCATTCTGGCCGAACTTTTGCACTAGAATATTTTTAGATGCTCTCATCACAACAACCATATTCAAATAGAAATAGACAAAGCCTGAAAGAAAAGCTGACGTTGCCTTTTTTAAGGGAGGTCACTTGTGGAGGTTCAGCTATATTTAGCAACCAAATTCTTAAGTGAGGTTAAGTGAGGGCAAGTTTCCAGGGAAAATTTGAATTTTCCGAGCCCCCAGGAACGCTAGTTATTTTAGGTATTCTGGCAGAATGTTTGCACTATTATAGATGCTGTCATTACAACACTTATGTTATACCTACTATTTACTGTTCATTTTCTATTGTTATTCTTGTAAACTGAAGATTGATGATGTTTCATCCGAAACGTGTCATGTAAATACAATATGAGTTTTAAACACATCGTGTGGCACCTGAAAGCAATATATACCTATAATCAAGTAAAAATAGACAAAAGCATGGCAAAAAGCTTACGTCGCCTGTGTTTTATCAAAGGGAGGTTATTTGTGGAGGTTGAGGTATATTTAGCAACCAAATGCTTAGTAGAGGTTTAGTTCCTGCTGTAGGATACCTAACAACGTAAGGGCGTCCAGGGGCTTGCTCCCACAGAAAAGTTTGAAAATTTCATAATCTCAGGAACGGTATTTTAGGAGAAGGCAGCTGAAAAAAGGGATACAGCAATAAGCCAAAAAATACACTAGACGTTAACACTTTTATGAATAAAACAATAAGAAAACTAAGTTTTCATATTACAACCATTTATTTACAATTCTGGGAATTTCTTAACGAAATCCGAAGAAATCTTAATGCAGGAATGTAATCCAACATTTCAGTTAATTGTAGCATTGAGAACTGAGTTCAGAAATTTCTAATGGCGATAATGCCAACTTATTATTCATTCCTTGCGGGGAAAAAATACTGATCAGAATTATTGAACAATGATTTCGGCATAGGTGCTCTTTGCTTTATAACTTCCGCTGATCGATTGAGCCGGCGGTTACGCCCGAAACCAACAGAGACAAATGAAGAAACACGGAAGCGTAATGCCCTTTATACAACTATAAATGCGGGTTAATTTGACGACTAATATACGGCCATTACGGTAAGTTATCTTGCCACTTTCCCTCAGGAAACTGTAGAAAATGTCTATAACGGGTACTAGGGTGTTTTCAGTTCATATCCAGCACAGAAGCTGTTTGAGAAGCGTTTGGGAAATTCAGTGGCTAAAGCGGAAGCTAATTTCATAAGTTAGCTACAACAAAACCCACATCAGACAATTCCTTTAATTTCTTGTTTGAACATCATAGAATTCTCAAGCTAGGCATAATGTAAAGACACATTTTATTGAGCATTTTCTAAACTACTGAAGAATGACTTACATTTAATTTAGCGCAAGCCTTTTCTTGGTAAAAATGCACATAAAATCTTTCACTTTCAGTAGCAACTTCCGGTAAGTCTTGTTCTTGAAAAGTATTGACCATTGATGCCTACTAGAATCAAAAGGCCCGATTCAGGTGCAAAACGTTTTATAGGCTGATGCTAAGTCTAATTGGCCGATCCAAAAGTACCCATACTAGTCCATATACAGAATGACAATGATGACATGAAGTCGTCGAAACGTCATGTGTAGCGTTCCCAGCGCGGCTGGCACGAGGTGTAGCGTACTTGAGTTCACCAGGTCAACCACAGTGAAATAACAGACGGACAGCAGACTTCAAAAGACATGTTTATTGGACTGATCATGGATCAGGCTAGCCGACTTATTACAACACTTGCGGTAAAAACTAAAAAGGAATGCACGATTGTCTAAGCTCAAGAAATGAGCGAAAATACAAATAATTCAACGACGGAAATGAGAATGGAAAACTAATGGAAACTAAATGATAGTGACTTATGTCTGATCATGACTCCAGGGAGAGAAATGACTCCAACTTATAAAGGAAAAACTCTGAAAAACTCCTATGAACTCCTCTTTACGGCCGTGAAAACTCCTTAAAAGTGAGATGTTCGCGTGGAAAGAGACCCAATATACTTCTATGACGTAAAGGAAATTGAATTAAACGTTCTTTGTACTTCGTGTCAACTGACGTGACATCATGTTGCTTCACTTTCGTTAATTTTCTTGCTTAGAAATTATAAAAGTTAAAACAATTTATGGATCATAAAAAGGTATATTAGCTAAAAGAGGTCCGGCATACGAAAAGTTTGGCATTTGAATAAACTGCTGCTCCAAGATCAAAATAGACCCAGAGGGCGGCTAGAGTGAAAGAATGGCTAACCCGCGCCATATTGAAATAATTAGTCGCTTTAAATAATTTCAAAAGTAAATTTCAGTCCTCTTAGTTTCAGACGCTTTCAGACTCATTCAGATACTCTCTGACTTTCAATTCAAGGTGTTATGTTAGGCTCATGATAACAACGGCGCCTGAACAAGGCGTATAAACGACCACCTAACTTGTTATTGCCGTCTTATTATTTTCAGGAGACGACTAAGCAAGTAAGCAATATTGAGTATCCTGATTTTGACTTGCATCTACGAATAATTAAAATACTCGGTTGTAAGGATTCAGAAGTGCATCAAATTACAACTGAGCTCGAAGAAAACAGCGATGGCATTTTCAAGAAATGATTCTAAAACTGATGATGTCTGTTTTGCGGAATTTAAGAATGTTCCTAAAGACCTCACTGGACAAGCTCTAACCCTTCATAGTCACGCTAATGGACAAGAAACACGACAAAACACGGAAGAAATTTCTCATGCTGAAATCATAAGCAGGAATTGCACGTCACATATGAAACACGAAAGAACGGGTAATGTGGAGATCAAGGTACAGGGAACTGAAATTTGCATCAATGTTTCAGGATGTGCTGTGGCTCAACTTGGCTCTGATACCAAAGCATTGGAAGTGAAGAGCTGCAAATTGTGCAGCAAGAATTGTTACAGCTCGTCGGATGAAGAATGCGAGGCATCGGTCGCGTTGAAGATTTCAGAGGTGCAAGCAGATAGCCACGCCCATGTTAACATGTTGATTTATTCACCAATGCCAGTTATTCCAAAACGTGGCTGCGTGAACACTTCTCAGTATTTCTTAATTATAACAAAACTGAAAGAACTACAAGATACAGGCGACTTTGATGGACATGAGAAAATGGTAGAAAAACAGATGGCGAAATTGAAGACGGATACAGACTCTGACATGGAAATGAGTCTACAGATTGAGCGAGCAATGGCGCTATATTTTCAAAACAACATAAAAGATGCCAAGAAAATTTTAAAAATTGTGGTAAAGCAAGAGAAACAACTGAAAAACCCAGGCATTCTAGTAGGGCGAGCCTTAAATCTTCTGACAGCGGTGTACAAGCGTCAAAAGAAATTTGGTAACGCGATGGAATGTGTGGAAAGAGCGCGCACTTGTCTTGAAGGTCAGGACTCGGCGAATGATAAAGCGGAGTTACATCACAGTTATGGCGCCTTAATTACAGCTATACCAGCTGCGAAGGAACCTGAAACTGCCCACGCCACTAAGAAAGAAGCTTACAAATCTTATAAAATGGCGGGCCACTACACAGAGAATGATGAATTTCAAGAGTATGTTCACGTCAAAATGGCGGCTTTGCTGCTGGGATCTCGCTCCAGCGGAGAAAGAATCGTAGACAAAGATGATGTTATGAATGCAAAGAAACACCTTGACTTCGTTGAATCCAAATTAACTGACAATGAATCGTTAGGAACAAGAATAACATTTCTTCTTTTGCGATCTGATCAGTACCTTTACGAAGACAACGTTGCCATGGCAATGGAGAAAGCTCAAGAGGCGAGCGCCCTCATCCACCAACATGGATTCAAGCTTGAATTTGCTTCTGCCAAAAGCCGTATTGATCGCCTGTCCACGATGATATGGCAAGAAAACGAGGAATGGCGAGAGACGGAGTTCAGCTCCAGCTCGGGTACAAGTGACCATCTTGCTGAAAGCGAGAGAGCACATTCCGATTAGTTTGGCAAATAAAGATGCATTGGATCAATCGATTACAATTATTTCCCTTTTAAAGATAAGGCAAATCATTGGAACGAAGCTTGCTCAGGTTGAAAGCCATACTATTCCAGTCCATCATTTACACAGCCAATCAGTGTGTGTAGTCCACCATGATTGACAGTTAACTTCTTCTTGGCAGCTCTGTTCATCAAACGCCAAGACGGAGCGCTTTGTTGTGCATTTGAAAACTTCTGCATAAGGGATAATTAAAACAATATAGTAATAAGAAAAGCAAATGTATGTATCGCTCAGCTTTTAAAGAGACAAAATGAAGTTCACCTTTAGTAATAGCGCAACTTTTGGTGGTGGTGGGATTTGACTAGATAGTCCCTGATATAAATAATGACTTCCCCTCTTCATCAGAAAGTTTTTACCTGACCCCTTCTCGTACCCGTAAATTTTGGGATGACCTCCCGCCATGAAAATTAAAAAGTTAAAAATTGTTGCAATCTGAAAAATAAATTATACCAGTTTCAAGGCAGTTGAAACAGGTTTTGACAATGCACCAGTTGTTTGGTCATAGCACCTTGATCAGAGCTGACATTGTCTTGACTGTTTTATGAAAGGAAGCTGCATGATGCTTAGTGAAGGTTTGAGTGTGTTTACAGGGCTCAAAGAAGGGGGAGCCGGGACATGCTCCCCCGGGAAATATTGTGTTTTCAGAACTTCAAGAACGTTATTTTAGGCATTCTGGCCGAACTTTTGCACTAGAATATTTTTAGATGCTCTCATCACAACAACCATATTCAAATAGAAATAGACAAAGCCTGAAAGAAAAGCTGACGTTGCCTTTTTTAAGGGAGGTCACTTGTGGAGGTTCAGCTATATTTAGCAACCAAATTCTTAAGTGAGGTTAAGTGAGGGCAAGTTTCCAGGGAAAATTTGAATTTTCCGAGCCCCCAGGAACGCTAGTTATTTTAGGTATTCTGGCAGAATGTTTGCACTATTATAGATGCTGTCATTACAACACTTATGTTATACCTACTATTTACTGTTCATTTTCTATTGTTATTCTTGTAAACTGAAGATTGATGATGTTTCATCCGAAACGTGTCATGTAAATACAATATGAGTTTTAAACACATCGTGTGGCACCTGAAAGCAATATATACCTATAATCAAGTAAAAATAGACAAAAGCATGGCAAAAAGCTTACGTCGCCTGTGTTTTATCAAAGGGAGGTTATTTGTGGAGGTTGAGGTATATTTAGCAACCAAATGCTTAGTAGAGGTTTAGTTCCTGCTGTAGGATACCTAACAACGTAAGGGCGTCCAGGGGCTTGCTCCCACAGAAAAGTTTGAAAATTTCATAATCTCAGGAACGGTATTTTAGGAGAAGGCAGCTGAAAAAAGGGATACAGCAATAAGCCAAAAAATACACTAGACGTTAACACTTTTATGAATAAAACAATAAGAAAACTAAGTTTTCATATTACAACCATTTATTTACAATTCTGGGAATTTCTTAACGAAATCCGAAGAAATCTTAATGCAGGAATGTAATCCAACATTTCAGTTAATTGTAGCATTGAGAACTGAGTTCAGAAATTTCTAATGGCGATAATGCCAACTTATTATTCATTCCTTGCGGGGAAAAAATACTGATCAGAATTATTGAACAATGATTTCGGCATAGGTGCTCTTTGCTTTATAACTTCCGCTGATCGATTGAGCCGGCGGTTACGCCCGAAACCAACAGAGACTAATGAAGAAACACGGAAGCGTAATGCCCTTTACACAACTATAAATTTCGGGTTAATTTGACGACTAATATACGGCCATTACGGTAAGTTATCTTGCCACTTTCCCTCAGGAAACTGCAGAAAATGTCTATAACGGGTACTAGGGTGTTTTCAGTTCGTATCCAGCACAGAAGCTGTTTGAGAAGCGTTTGGGAAATTCAGTGGCTAAAGCGGAAGCTAATTTCATAAGTTAGCTACAACAAAACCCACATCAGACAATTCCTTTAATTTCTTGTTTGAACATCATAGAATTCTCAAGCTAGGCATAATGTAAAGACACATTTTATTGAGCATTTTCTAAACTACTGAAGAATGACTTACATTTAATTTAGCGCAAGCCTTTTCTTGGTAAAAATGCACATAAAATCTTTCACTTTCAGTAGCAACTTCCGGTGAGTCTTGTTCTTGAAAAGTATTGACCATTGATGCCTACTAGAATCAAAAGGCCCGATTCAGGTGCAAAACGTTTTATAGGCTGATGCTAAGTCTAATTGGCCGATCCAAAAGTACCCATACTAGTCCATATACAGAATGACAATGATGACATGAAGTCGTCGAAACGTCATGTGTAGCGTTCCCAGCGCGGCTGGCACGAGGTGTAGCGTACTTGAGTTCACCAGGTCAACCACAGTGAAATAACAGACGGACAGCAGACTTCAAAAGACATGTTTATTGGACTGATCATGGATCAGGCTAGCCGACTTATTACAACACTTGCGGTAAAAACTAAAAAGGAATGCACGATTGTCTAAGCTCAAGAAATGAGCGAAAATACAAATAATTCAACGACGGAAATGAGAATGGAAAACTAATGGAAACTAAATGATAGTGACTTATGTCTGATCATGACTCCAGGGAGAGAAATGACTCCAACTTATAAAGGAAAAACTCTGAAAAACTCCTATGAACTCCTCTTTACGGCCGTGAAAACTCCTTAAAAGTGAGATGTTCGCGTGGAAAGAGACCCAATATACTTCTATGACGTAAAGGAAATTGAATTAAACGTTCTTTGTACTTCGTGTCAACTGACGTGACATCATGTTGCTTCACTTTCGTTAATTTTCTTGCTTAGAAATTATAAAAGTTAAAACAATTTATGGATCATAAAAAGGTATATTAGCTAAAAGAGGTCCGGCATACGAAAAGTTTGGCATTTGAATAAACTGCTGCTCCAAGATCAAAATAGACCCAGAGGGCGGCTAGAGTGAAAGAATGGCTAACCCGCGCCATATTGAAATAATTAGTCGCTTTAAATAATTTCAAAAGTAAATTTCAGTCCTCTTAGTTTCAGACGCTTTCAGACTCATTCAGATACTCTCTGACTTTCAATTCAAGGTGTTATGTTAGGCTCATGATAACAACGGCGCCTGAACAAGGCGTATAAACGACCACCTAACTTGTTATTGCCGTCTTATTATTTTCAGGAGACGACTAAGCAAGTAAGCAATATTGAGTATCCTGATTTTGACTTGCATCTACGAATAATTAAAATACTCGGTTGTAAGGATTCAGAAGTGCATCAAATTACAACTGAGCTCGAAGAAAACAGCGATGGCATTTTCAAGAAATGATTCTAAAACTGATGATGTCTGTTTTGCGGAATTTAAGAATGTTCCTAAAGACCTCACTGGACAAGCTCTAACCCTTCATAGTCACGCTAATGGACAAGAAACACGACAAAACACGGAAGAAATTTCTCATGCTGAAATCATAAGCAGGAATTGCACGTCACATATGAAACACGAAAGAACGGGTAATGTGGAGATCAAGGTACAGGGAACTGAAATTTGCATCAATGTTTCAGGATGTGCTGTGGCTCAACTTGGCTCTGATACCAAAGCATTGGAAGTGAAGAGCTGCAAATTGTGCAGCAAGAATTGTTACAGCTCGTCGGATGAAGAATGCGAGGCATCGGTCGCGTTGAAGATTTCAGAGGTGCAAGCAGATAGCCACGCCCATGTTAACATGTTGATTTATTCACCAATGCCAGTTATTCCAAAACGTGGCTGCGTGAACACTTCTCAGTATTTCTTAATTATAACAAAACTGAAAGAACTACAAGATACAGGCGACTTTGATGGACATGAGAAAATGGTAGAAAAACAGATGGCGAAATTGAAGACGGATACAGACTCTGACATGGAAATGAGTCTACAGATTGAGCGAGCAATGGCGCTATATTTTCAAAACAACATAAAAGATGCCAAGAAAATTTTAAAAATTGTGGTAAAGCAAGAGAAACAACTGAAAAACCCAGGCATTCTAGTAGGGCGAGCCTTAAATCTTCTGACAGCGGTGTACAAGCGTCAAAAGAAATTTGGTAACGCGATGGAATGTGTGGAAAGAGCGCGCACTTGTCTTGAAGGTCAGGACTCGGCGAATGATAAAGCGGAGTTACATCACAGTTATGGCGCCTTAATTACAGCTATACCAGCTGCGAAGGAACCTGAAACTGCCCACGCCACTAAGAAAGAAGCTTACAAATCTTATAAAATGGCGGGCCACTACACAGAGAATGATGAATTTCAAGAGTATGTTCACGTCAAAATGGCGGCTTTGCTGCTGGGATCTCGCTCCAGCGGAGAAAGAATCGTAGACAAAGATGATGTTATGAATGCAAAGAAACACCTTGACTTCGTTGAATCCAAATTAACTGACAATGAATCGTTAGGAACAAGAATAACATTTCTTCTTTTGCGATCTGATCAGTACCTTTACGAAGACAACGTTGCCATGGCAATGGAGAAAGCTCAAGAGGCGAGCGCCCTTATCCACCAACATGGATTCAAGCTTGAATTTGCTTCTGCCAAAAGCCGCATTGACCGCCTGTCTTCGATGATACGGCAAGAAAACGAGGAATGGCGAGAGACGAAGTTCAGCTCCAGCTCGGGTACAAATGACTATCTCGCTGAAAGCGGGAGCACGCATTCCGATTAGTTTGGCAAATAAAGATATGCTGGATCAATCAATCGAAATTATTTCCTTTTACAGATTAGGCAAATCATTGAAACGAAGCTTGCTCAGGTTGAAAGCCATACTACTCCAGTCCATCATTTACACAGCCAATCAGTGTGTGTTGTCCACCATGATTGACAGTCGACTTCTTCTCGGCAGCTCTGTTCACCAAACGCCAAGGCGGAGCGCTTTATTGAACATTTGAAAACTTCTGCAAAAGAGATAATTAAAACAATATAGTAATAAGAAAAGCCAATGTATGTGTTACTATGAAATCCAGAAAAGGGAGGGGTAACTGGAAGTTCTTGAAGGGAACAGCTCCCCACCTCCCCTTGCTCCGGCGCCCTCATCTTTGGTGCTATTCTTTGATCAAATGGGAAAGTCTTCGAGCGCTGAAACAAAAATTTGCGACAAAAAAAAAGAATTTCATTCCCCTTGACAGCTCTGTACCCATATTTAAAAAAAAAGTCCGGATGCCCATAATTCTCGCCACCCCAGCCCACCTCCCTTAAAAATAAACGGGCACAGTCACCGGGAATGGTTTAAGCCGTGACTTTTTTGACAAGTTATGTTTTTTTTCAGGATTCTCCTAACCCCCAGCGAATTTTGCATTCCTTACCCAACAGCAGTAGAAGTACAAAACACTGATCAGGATTTTCCTCCTCATGGGTGGTTGTGCCTAAATCCTACCGCTCAGAAGGACAACCGAGAAGTACTAGGAGCGAGTTTCCGAGTCGAGCAGTTTCCGGAAATTGTCGGGGGAAAAATTAACGCCCGGGCGGAGTGTGGGGGTATTCAGCGGACACACTTTTATATAAAAATACGTTGTGTAAGTGATCCCGTAAAATTAAAGGAC